GTTTAGCAGATACGGGCATAATGGTGCACACTTGTAATTCCAGCGCTTAAGAGGCTGCGCCAGGGGGATCTGCAAGTTCCAGCCCATCCTGGACTACATAATGAGTTCAAGGATAGCCTTGACTACATGAGAGTCTCAAAAAAACAAACAAAAAACTTTACAGGGATGAACCCTGTGTCCCCTACGGCCTATAATTCTCAGGAGGGTAAGACAGGAATATCTAAAGTTTTAGGCAAACAAAGCTACTTAAGTAGACATAAAAGAGGCGCCTTCCACTTATGAGTGAGAACAAACAAGAAGAATTAGCCTAACAAGACGCAGATGACCTGGATATTGAAGGGATGTTCAGAGAAACACATAAAAGGAAAGACACACACACACACACACACACACACACACACACACATCATGCAGAAGCAAAGAGACCCTTGTCAGTCCCATGTCACACCCTTCCCAGCTCAGGCAGTCCTCTGTGGTAAGAAAGCTTTATTAGCTCACAGCAGGTGCCTGCCACCTGTTCACCTGGTACTTGGGTCCCTGGGTGTGCCCCTTTCTCTCTGTGTGTACACCCGTGAGGGTTAGGCCTGCTACCTGCCCCAGAAGGAGGGAAACCGGTGCTGACCCAGCCTACAATGACCAGGAGGGAGTTTTACCAGCCTCCTCACTCTAGCTGCCCCCCTCCCCATCAGCCTCTCCCTACCATGCTGGGCTTTTTGCTCACTGACCTCTAAAGCAGCAATCACCAGCCCCATGACTGGGTCTTGATTTCCACCTCCACTTCTCTCTACTCTGGCCACACACATTTTCCCCCAACTCTTTAGAGCAAGCCGTAGGCCCCAAAGCTCTAAATTCTCACTTCCAGCAGGAAGGGAGAGTCCCTCTCCCTTCCCTAGCCAGGGGACTCTCCACCTCTCCTAGTGAGAGGCTGGGGATAGCATATGAACCAATGGGAAGTGCCTCATCAGGAAGAATTGGCCTTAGACAGGACAGCAGGGATTAAGACACCAACTCTGAGGAGAGTGTCCTGTGGTTGGAGAATCAGGGGGAGAAGTGTGTTGGAGTTGTCTAGGGGTAGATTACAGTTTAGCCCATACCCTGTGCCCCACCCTGCTCCCTGGTAGGTGCTACATGTTCGCCCCCCAGTGGTCAGGCCACGTAGCAAAAAAACCTCAAAGCCAGGTCTTCAAACGGCAGTGGCAACATCCCCCCCACATCCCCAGCCTAGCCAGGACACGTAGCCAGGATCAGCTCCAGGCACTTCCCCTTCCCCCAGAACCTCCGCTCCAGCCCCCAGGGACCAGGCAGGATGCCGCTCCCTGAGAGGCTGTGTGCAATGCCTTGCCCAGCTCAACCTCCATCTGTGGGGACCATGCACCCAACGCTGCCCTATCCTTCTTGACGTCCTCTGGACACAAACTTAAAGCTTTGACCATACAGGATAAAGAAGCTCGCTTCAGTACATAGCTGCAGTCTCTGCACACTGACATGAAACTTCCACCTTAGAGCAGTCAGTCATTGCCTCTGTCCTCCAAGTCCCAGGAGGCCAACAGAGGTGACACATCCAGAGTGAGGACACCACGAACAGCCAACAGGACCTCTTCTCACAAGTAATAACACAAACTTCACTGAAAGACACAGAGGCTCAAGGCCACAGTCAAACCCAAGACCAATTATTTGAGCTTTAGCCCACTAGGAACTGGGGCTAAGAGAAATAAAGAGGAGCTTATCAGAGCACATAGAGACATTTCTGCAGAAACATACTGTGACATATCCCTCTATACCGACACTTCTTGGACACACTCAGACAAAGATGATACTATGGTCAGGGAAGCTTTGGAAGCCAGCCTCATGGTCCAGTGGTCAAATACAGGAACTGCAAGTTCCTAGGAGCCTGGCTGAAGCCTGAAGGGGGCAAAGAGTGCAGAAAGCCCTAGACATTCACCACTACTGCGGCCCAAGTCTACAGCACATTCTAAATTGGCAGCCACCTCCCTTCCTCTAACCTAAGTAAGTGTAAGCACATGGTCAGCCCAGCCCCAAGGAGAGAAACTTGAGGGTGTCCAGGCAAAGATCCCTTCAGAAGTCAGACTAGCTCTCCCAGTCTGCCTCTCTTGTCTATCTCCAGGCAGTTCCCAAGTTCTGAAAAGGTAGTGCCCCACACACTCATCCACCCCCACAGCTTTACCCTAACCCCTCAAACCAGCTCCTCAGGCTCAGAGTGGTGTGCTTTGCCAGAACCTGACAGGCAGTTCCAAGTAGAACAGAAGAGTTGGGCCTACTGCTGCTCTGAACCTTTAAGAAGCAGAGCCTCCCTGGGCCTAAAGTGAATGGGGAGGAGGGAGGGCATAGCTCATTCCCTGCCCTTGGCTAATGCCACAGAGCTCCTTGGTCCACTCTCTCACCTGCCCTTTTCTGAACCTGAACCTGGGGTGGTAGGCCAAGACTCTGCATAGCTCCTGACCTCCATATTATTAGCATTAAGCCTTGAATGACTCACATGTCTCCCCGAATGTCCTGGTTCTCTTAGCCATGTCCGTTTGCGTAATCACTTAGGGACAAGAGCTTTAGAAAGAAGTTCAGACGTCTTCCAGATGTTATCCCTATCAGCACTCAAGGTCTTGAGTCCTTTACTAGCTCAGCTCCCATGCTCCCAGTTTCTTTCCCACACTGCCTTGCCCATAACTCAGCTCAGAGGAAGAGAATGCAACTTAAATGAGGGGTTCCCTTCTACCTCACAATCTGCACACTCTACAGACCAGATACAGGCCTCGCCCTTATAGTTTCTCCAGGTGAGAAAAGAAAGCTACTGGCTCGTTGAGCTTGGGAAAGGGAAAAGAGACCCACCCTACCCCAAAGACTTTCCTCATGGGGCAGGACCAATGCAGCCCTACTCACCTAAGCTACTCTCAGTATGAGCAGAGCCCCTTAAATGTTTCCCAAGGCACCTTCTGCCTTCCCTTCCCTCTTCCCAGTCACCTGTGAGGACAGCAACCAGCTGAATCACTGGCTCCTGTGAACTCAGCTCAACACCTATTATATGTCAGGCTGCTGTTAGGAAAGGGGTGCAGTAAGATGGTTCCTGTGGTTGAAGCTAATTTTTTGTTTGTTGTTTGCTTGCTTGCTTGTTCTTGGAGACAGGTTTTTCTCTTTATAGCTCTGGCTGTCCTGGAACTCACTCTGTAAACGAGGCTGGCCTCAAACTCATATAGAGATCCACCTGCCTCTGCCTCCCAAGTACTGAGATTAAAGACATGAGCCACCACTGCAGGACTTGAAGCTAAATTTTAAGGGCAGACTGTTTCAAAACCATTTATTGGGAGTCCAGCAGTGTTCTGGGGACAGAAGTAGACCTCTGGGTCCTTTTTCTCCTGGGAATTGCAGGTCACTCTCCAAGGCCCCCAACAACCTCGGGGAAACATTTCTACAAATTCCCTCTACAGAACAGGAACCTCATGTCCTCAGAGACAGCCCAGGGCCACACCCTGGCACACCAGGGTGCCAACTGAGGCACACCATGCGTGCAAATCTTCTGTGGTCACATTGTGCAAAAGTGACAATACGTAGGCAAACACCACACACACACACACACACACACACACACACACACACACACACCACCCCACCGGGAACACTCTTAAGTTGTCAAGGCTCAATTTGAGTTATGGGGTATCCCCGGGTCCCCTCTAACAGTCTTCCAAAGCTCACCCTTAAGTACAGCTAGTCCTGCTGCCAACCCAGCGCTACCCATGGGTCTGTGTTCCCCAAACCCGCCCTGGCACTCACTGCAAGGGACTCCCAGCCAGAGGAGGCCCAGGCCCTTGCACACTGCACATCCCCTCCCTGCATGGGAAAGCCTTACATAACACAGCTCTCTGCACACACCCTAAGCGCTGCCTTTCCAACCCCACAGCAGGATCTTGCCCCCCGCCCTCTTCGCTGGCGCACACTGCAAAAGTGGAGGGTTCCAGAGAGAGCAGCGAAGTCCTTCACCTACGCCCTACGCTCAGGCCCCCACCGCCTACACACCAGCTCTTTCCCCCTCCTCTTTGCCCCTCACCACTTCCCCCCCTCCCCAGCCCCGAATTCTGGTTTGAATTAGTCACCGGCTCCAACCACTACATTCCTCAGGCTGCTGGCGTCCAGCCAGGCGCTGGGGCGGGGACCATCCCGCCCGGACGAGTTTGGGAGTGGGGTGGGGTAGGGAGAAAGCACCGCCCCTAGAAGGAGCAAAGGAGGTTCTGGGGACCGTGTCGATTGCTCAGCCCCCTCCCCGCCCACCCCAGTGCAGGAATCTCCGTAATTATGTCCCCTCCACCCCCACTCCCACCCAATCCCGCAGGGAGGCCCACTGCAAACTTCCAGGCTCCGACGCCCTAGAGGAAGAAGGGAGTTTTCTGGATCTGGGAACGTGGAGGGGCAAGACTAGGGCGGGGCAGCTGAAGGGGAGCTGCTGAAGGCGCAGCTAGGAGCTAGGAAGGGAGGTACAGAGCAGGGTGGGGCTGACGGGACTCCGGACACGAAGTTCAGGGCGGAGGTGTGCGGAGCCGCGAAGGACAGCAGAGGTGGCATGCGGTGCAGGGGCGCGGCGGGAGGGGGGGGACTGCGACGGGGGATCTCGGAAAACTTCTCCAGTAAACAGGGAATAGGAACCCAGTAGCGCTCTGAGCCACCGCCCCAACGGGGGCCATCAGGCCAAGAACGCAGCGCGCTACAGTGCAGTTGGGACGACAGCCCGCCCTCGGGAGAAACAAGCGCAGCAAAGCACACTTCGAAGCTATTTCCTAACTTAGTCCAACTTGTGCCCCAACTTCAGAGACACAGCTTCTCTCCCAGAGCGCGCCGCGTCGCCTGCCCCAGCAGCAACTAGCGGCCGGGTTTGCTCCAAACTGTTGCAAACCTCGCAGTGACACTACTGCAAATGCACCTCGCCCGGGTCCTTCCCTCCCCTAGTCACCCGCACCCTCGCCCCAGACCGCACCACCCGGCGCTTGGATCCCTACCTGCGGGCTCAGCCCCAGGACGCAGCCATAGCCGGAGTAGGGCCCGAGGTCGCAGTGCTGTGACTGCTGGCGACAGCGAGCCCCAGTCGGGGCGGGTCTGGCAGGGCAGACAGTGCAGTCCCCGCGGCAGAGCTGCTCCAAGTGGCCGGGCCCCCGCGCGCGGAGGCGGCTCTTGTAACTCGGGCGGGTCTGCCCCGAGCTGTGGGGAGAGGGCGGGGCCGGGCGGGGCCCGAACAGGGCTGGGACCCGAGAGAGAGAGAGAGAGAGAGAGAGAGAGAGAGAGAGAGAGAGAGAGACTAATGCTGAAGCCACACGGGAGTGGGCTGCTGAGAGGAGAACGCAGCAGAGGGGGCTCTGGGTCGAGGAGGCTTCGCCTTTTCCCTTCCCCTATCCCATCTATTGCTCCTGTCCCGGGTCTGGATATTTCTACCCCAGTTTAAATAGTGTGTGTTCACCGGAAAGAAATTCCTGGAAACACGGGAGCAGGGGCTCGCTATCACAGCTGAAATCCTTCGTCAACCCATTCTGCAGGAAAAGCCACGAAGCTCAGATGATTCAGCCTCGACCTCCAGCCTCAACACAGACCTTTGAGCTTTCTCTCAAGCTTAAACACTCTAGTCTCAGGCCCTAGGCTCCTCTCTATGTTCCCAAGCTTCTTGCGGCCGCGCCCATTTCTCGCCTTTCAGGCTTTCATCTCCTTCTACAAAATACTCAGACTCTTAAGACTCAGACACGACCCCTAGGAATGGAGTCACCTATGCGCCACACTATAATGCCTTTCAGCATCTGCAGACACACGAGAGTCAGGCCTGCAGCGATTGGACGAGCCATAGAACTGCTCACCCTTTTCTGTAAACCCTGTCCCCCCTTCACCGCCCCCCTATGCCTTTTGGGTGTTTTGTTTAGTTTGGGGAGGGGGCACAGTCTATGTAGCCCCGGCTGTCCTGGAACTGGCTAGAAGCTGCCTCACAGATTCGCCTCCCTAGGATTAAAGGTATGTCCCTCTAAGCTTGAGGAACCCAAGACCCAGCTTTTTCTTTGCTTCCCCAGTCCTTCTGCTGCCCTTCCCACAGCACCTCCCCCATATTCCCATTTGCAAGTTGCTCAGCTCCCCAATTTACAGCCATTTCTCACAGCCACTTCTAACTATATGGGGATTTTATTAAATGCTTAATGATGGGGTTGCAGGGATCTTCTGGCTACATCCCCCCTCCACACCTCTCTCTCTCTCTCTCTCTCTCTCTCTCTCTCTCTCTCGTTTTTTCTTCCCCATGAGTTCTACCCTCCCTAGCAGGTGGACACCCAAGTGCCCACTCCAGTTTCCCTTCCTTCCCAAATGCCCCAGGAGACTTTGGGCTGGAGAACTGAGACCTTGGCCTGAGGTAGGAGCACCTTTGCTCCAAGATCATGAGTGGGCTGGGTCTGAGACCAGCCCTGCCCTGTCCTCTGAAATGGCAAACATGTTTACAGGCTAAAAATATCAGCCAAGTCTGCTGCCAGCCCTGGGGGCTGTGTCCAGGTCCAGTTACCGCACAGGGTACAGGCGGTGGGGGGAGGGAAACAACAGAAGGGAGTGATGGACAACAGACACATATATAATGGACACACCGAGGTGGAGAAATGTAGATAGAAATTCAGACAGGCATGGACATGTAAAGACAGGCAGAGAATTGGCCACTAACATTCATATTCTCTCTCTCTCTCTATCTCTCTCTCTCTCTTCAACCCCACCAGACATCATCACAAGCTCACTGTCTGTCATAGGCTCAATCTTTCCCAAAAAAATCTACTTCTTTCCCCGAACTCACCAGGAGCTACATAGTGAGTTCCAGGCCACCCAGCAATATGCAGTAAGAATCAGGCCAAAACACATCTCAAAGAAGCAAAACTTAGCCGGGCAGTGGTGGTCGCACGCCTTTAGTCCCAGCACTCCCCAGCACTCAGGAGACAGAGACAGGCAGATCTTTGTTTATAGAGTGAGCTGGCTGTCCTGTCAGGAAAAACCAAACTAAACAAACAAACAAATAAACCTCAAGAGCCAGTCATATTTTTTCATTTACTTATTTTTTCAGTGTGTATGAACATGTGGAGGTCAGGGGACAACTTGTGAGAGTCTGTTCTGTCCTCCCCACCTGGGTACCGGGATCAAACAGGTCATCAGACTTGGCAGCAAGTGCCTGAACAAAGGGAGTCACATTTCCGAAGCTAGCCCTCAACTGTGATTTATCCAAACAATGTAGCCCAGGTTGGCCTGGAATCCACAGTGAAGTTTTGGTTATCCTCATCTGCAGAGTGATTCTACCTTGCTCTCTCTGATGCTGAGATTACAAGTCTTCACTGCAACATTTTATTTCATTCATTTTGCATGCACACTCGGGCATTTATTGAGTCAGGTATAATGGTGCATACCTCTAATCTCAGCACTCAAGAGGCAATGACTGGCAACTTCTGTAGGATTGAGGCCAGCCTTGGCTACATATTGAGACTCTATATACAAACAGCATTGGTATTTTGCCTGAATATATGTCTGTGTGAGAGTGTCAGATTCCATGGAACTGGAGTTACAGACAGTTCTGAGCTGCCATGTGTATGCTGGGAATTGAGCCTGGGTCCTTGGAAAGAACAGACCATGCTCTTTAATCACTGAGCCATCTCTCCAGCCCCCTTATTCCATCTCTTAAATATAAACCAAGAATAAGATAAAGTATTCTGCAATCCTGCAAGCCAGGTAATCCCTGTTGATATTAAAAAAAAAAAAAAAAATCAATGCTTCCATAAGGATGAAGGGTATTTGGTAGGTGTTGTTTTTGTTTTGTGTGTAAGTACTAGCAATCAAGCCCAAGGCCTCTTACATGAGAAATGAACACTGTAAAACTGAGCGTCAACCCAGTCTTTGAAATTTAAGCAATACAAATAGCCAGAACCATAAAAATTATGCTTCTGTCTAGTGTGGTGGCACATTCTGAGGCTATCTGGCCTGACCCCTAGGAGTCAGGCTCATCTGTGACCTTGTCTACATAAAGATTTCTAAGTCAGCCTAGAATACATAATAGCTTGTCTCAAAAAAGAAAAAAAGAAAAAAAAGAAAAAGAAAAGTAAATGTCTCCCTTTTTCTCTACCCAGACCTTCCTCCAAAAAGTCACCAGGTAATAACTTTATCAGATTTTTAACTTTGAAGAGTCTTCTCCCCCGGGAATGTGGGGGACACACGCCTTTAATCACAGGAGAGGCAGGCGGATCTCTTGAGTTTGAGGACAGCCTGGTCTACAGAGGGAGTTCCAGGACAGCCAGGGCTACACAGAGAAACCCTGTCTCAAACAGAGAGAGAGAAGCATTTTCATTTGATTCCTTATAAGAATAGGTTTCCTTATGTATGTTCAAATGGAAACTGATTTATTCCTGGGCTTTCAGGAAGGTGGCTATGATGTGATGGAAGCCCAAAGACGTGGGGTATCTGCAAGGAGCATCCCAGGCAGGGTAGGAGTGGTTAGAGGAAGGGAAGGAAGGATGTGGGCATCAGTCGCCTTAACTCTGCACACTGTATCGGCCCCTCAGGAGGGAGAGCTTCCTGAGCTCTGAGCCAATTGCATCTGTCCTAGTGTTTGTTCTGGCCACCCCCGTGCTCAACAGGAAAAAAGGCAGGAGGGCAACAGTTAGCAACAGTCCAGACACTTCATTCAGGGCTAATGATGCCAAGAATACCTGGTCAGAGCAGAGTTCTGGGAACTGGCTCCTGTCCCATTTCAGGCTAAGAGAACAGAGATGGGATCACTTCAACCCAGATCCTTAAAGATCATGATCCTGTGATTGGAACCAGACCTGGGATTTCCTAAGAAGCCCAGAGTGGATTGTTTTCAAGTTTTCAGACAGATATGACAGTTCCTGTAATCAGAATGCTCAGTAGGGTGGGGCAAGAGGGTCACTGAGTTCCAAGCCAGCATGGACTATTATAGTTCTAACCCAGCTTGGCCTTTGCCTCAAAGAATCACAATTTTTCTTTCAGTGTTTTAAGTGGAAATTCTGCCTCCTACCCACACCCCATGCCATATTTTCTTGTCCCACCCATTGTAATGGCCATTGTATGTGATTCTGCAACAGATTTTCATATATTAGCTCACTTAATCCTCACATACCCTGAGATGGAGGCACTTGATAAGGAAATGGTCTCAGAGGGGTTATTGATTTACCTAAAGTCATATAGCCAGCAAAGGAAGAGTTAAAATTCCTAGTCACTTACACTCCTTAAAGATAAGGGATTTTCTTTCTTCCTGTACTGGGGGAGGGGGCACTGGCCGACATTCAGCAAACACTCAGAAACAAGAGTTGTTTCGTTTTTGTTTTTTATTGTAGTGCTAGGGATCAAACCCAGGGTCTCATCCATGCTAGGAACACACTCCGCCACTAAGATCTATCCTCCAGCCCTCGGTGACATGTTAATTTACTGCATGCTCTCCTGATACAACTGGCCCCAACACCCTCGCTCCTTGCGCAAGTGTCTTGCCTCTATCACAAGTCTTGTCCAGACTGTCAGGCCGCAAGAGACAATTCCCCTACTTGCAGATCTTTGTTGCAGCTGCACAAACATTATTGTCCATCGAATACCAGGCCCAGAGTTGTGTCAATCGGCAACAGGGAACTGGGCAGGATGGAATCCCTGCCTTCCAGGCACCTAGTCCAGAAAGAATGGCTCAGACCCTTACCCATCTTCTCAGTTCCTTGCCAGTTCTGTTCAGAAAATTAAGTTGTCTTTTCTGTCCCATCTTTTTTTTTTTCTGCTACCCTATACCCAACATCAGATGCATGAGCAAATCTCTCTCTCTTTCATAGATACACTCACTCACTCACTCACTCTATTAAGAGTTGCCTCTGCCCTAACACTGCAAAGAAAACCCATGTTTTCTTCAAGGTTTCAGACAGCTGCCAACACTGGCCAGGGTTCAGGTCAGCTGCAGGAGTGACACCCTTCAGAGGTGTCCCACACCTCAGTCCTCCAGACTCACAAAGCTACATGAGCTCTAGGACTCGTCACTGGGATAACCCAGCTTCCAGAAATGACGTTCCTACCCTGGGGGGGTTCCCTGAAATGAAAGAGTTATGAGTATGTGTGTGTGATAAACCTTAGGCTCCTAGGTTGCTAAGCA